TATATATATATATATGTGTGTGTGTGTGTGTGTGTGTGTGTGTATGTGTGCATGTGTGTGTATGTGCAGGGTCTCACTATGCAGCTTGAACTCATAGTGATCCACCTGTTTTCAGCCTCTCTAGCACCAGGATTACGGGCGTGAGCCACCATGCCCAGACTCTGTCGCCAGCTCAGCATGCCCAGGAGTGGGGCTGGCATGGCATGTGGTGCCAGGGATGGAACCCTGGTCCCTATGCTTGCTTATGCAGGTACTTAGTCCAGCTGAGCTATCTTGCCAGCCCTCTTTCCATTAAGTTTTCCATCATTTTTCTATTCTCATCTATTTTTTTAATCTATGACTAATTTTGATATGCTGAGAAATTCTTTCATTATAGGTGTCATTTCTTTTTTCTCTGAGAGATTATATTTGATGTGATTTCTTCTGTAGCCTGATTTAGTTGTTTCTTTACTTCAGTTGTGATCGTTTCAGAAATTTCAGGTATGTGAATTCAAAGTTCTTCTATATCCTTGTCTTCTGCACTTGTTCTGGGTGGGATGGAGGTCTGAGATTACACTTTGCTTCTTTGTTCTGTCATTTTTGAAGATCCTTAAGTTTTCTGGGACTCAGGCTCGCTCCTTCAATGGCAGCAGGAGGCAGAGTGGAGGTCTCCAAGGCCACAAAAAGTCTTAAAGCTTGTCAAGATGTAAAACTCAAATCTTATAAAGGTTGAATGTTAACCCAAGCTATGTTAAATCTTATAGAAGGGGCTCCCCCAAGTGCTGTTAGAGCAGAAAGAAGGTCTGTGTAAGTGAGAGAAGGTATAAAAGTAACTGAGCCAGAGGCCAAATGAAAAAATGGGGCATAAAGTTGCCAATTTTTTTTTTTTGTATTTTAGGGAAGGGTCTACAGGGTGTTCAGGGTCTTACTACTAGGTCGTACTCACAGTGATCCTCCTATTTTCAGCCTCCCAAGTGCTGGGATTACAGGTGTGTGCCACCATGCCCAGGCTCAATTGCCATCTCAGCATGTCCCAAGGGTGGGGCTGGCATGGCAGGCCTGGGGATTGAATCCCCAGCCCCTGCTCCTGCTTGTAGGAGCTTTAATCTGCTGAGCTATTTGTCCAGCCCTCCAAAGATAAAATAAAATACAAAAAAATTTGATTATGGGTAAAAGACTTCTATTCCTTCTAATTCTAAGAGATTCCTTAATTGACCTACAAAAGCTTCTGACTAATTATTTGTGGTTACAAACCTAAACATTGTAAAAAGTGATTATAATTTTACTTGACCAATACACTCTGGTTTTATAAATGAATTTTCTAAATGTGTTTCTCTGCCTATCCAATTTCTAACTAGTTACCATACTTACAGCTGTTTTCTTTAAGTTGAACAATTTCTTCTTCTTTTTACCTTTTTGAATTTTTATAACATTTGTCTGTAACTTAAACTGGTGTATAGATTTCATTAGAACTAAGGACATGCTTCCATTCAGGGTGCTAGCTGACCAAAATGATGTTAAGCTTGGCTTTATAGGGTCAGAGAGATAGCTCAGTAGGATAAATGCCTGCCTAGCAAGTGCAAGGTCCTGAGTTTGATTATTGGTACAAAAAATGACTGGTTTTATAGATATAATACCTATTTTTTTTACATTCTTCTTAGTGTTTAATTGCTGTACAAGATGTGGACTTGAGATCCTAGTTACAAACACCAGTAGAACAAATCATTCTATTCATTAAGAGAATGTAACTATATATCTGTTCTATCCACTTTGAATACACAGATACAAAATGGACATTCATCGGTATACCCCATTTTTTCTAAGTTCTGTTATTGAATATTATAGGTGTGTAAACTCAGCAAAATATTCTAAAAGAGTCCAGTAGCCCATCATAGCATTGGGTCTTCTGTTTAACTGACAATGTCAAAAAATGTTGACCTGAGTCCCCCACAGCTCAACATAGCAGCATGGATTTACTTCCTATATTTCGTCTTCATACTTTTCTACTGGATGGTTAAGATCAAGGTAAAACAGGACCTAGGAAACAAGAGTTGTAGCCTTTGGGTCTGAGAAGGTCAGTGAAATCCCCTCAGGATTTAT